CGGTGGACGCCGTATCAATAAAGATGATAATAATAATAATAATAATAATAATGGTAGAGGAGCGCGAAGATAATAATAATAATAATAATAATAATAATAATAGTGGAGGATAATAATAATAATAATAATAATAATGGAAACGGTGGAGAGCTACGAAGATAATAATAATAATATTGGAAACGGTGGAAGAGCGCGCGAAGATGATAATAATAATAATAATAATCTTTTCTCTCCTTTAGGAATACGGAATTGGTTGGATCAGTTAGGTGGGCTTACAAACTAAAAAACATAAAAAATTTATAGAATATATTGGTGGCGAAAGTATCTATTTTTATTTTTATTTTTTTTTATACTTACCTCTTCTCTCCTTTAGAAATACGAATCGGTTAATAAGATTTATGAATGAATATAGGAGGATCGGATAATATAAAAGTAAGTTGGGTAATAATATATTAGATAATAATATATTAGATAATAATAAATCTTTTTGTAATTAATATTAAATTAATTATAAGATTATTCTTTAGGTGTTTGTAGTGATTGGTAGTTACGCAAGAGGTAAATTGGCATTTTTTCAATAATTGGCAGTTACGCAAGAGCATTATTATGTTATATACTGTATATATTTTTATATTAATTAATAAATTATATTTAAAACTTTTGTAATATATATAAAGTATATAAATTATATTTAAAACTTGCAATATATATAAAGTTTAATAAATCTGCACATATGAATTTTTATTAATTGTGATGATCGTTTTAATCATAAAATTTTTATTTAATTTTAATAAAAATTATTATGAATTACTATTATAATTATTAATTACTTTTAAAATTATATTAATTATTAATTACTATTAAAATTATATTAACTATTAATTACTATTACTATTAAAATTATATGTTAATTATTATTACTATAAAATTATTACTATAAAATTATCGCGAAATTTAATTATTACTATTAAAATTTATAATATATATTCACATGCTTTAATTAATTATCATTGGTCAATTCAACATCACTTTCACTCAAATAATCAGCCGCGAATAAAGCAGGATCATAATCTTCTCCCTCATTATTAATATTTGATCCATCTATCGAACTATTATCCTCTTCTAAGTTTTCATTTGAATTATTTATTATAACAAATACTTTTTCTATAGAAATTATTCTTTCTAATTCTAATTCAATATCTGTTCTTTCATTTGATTCACTAATAGGTTCAGGAAGTAAAGGAGAATCAATATCAATATCCTCACTGTCATCTTCAATCATTTGATCGTATGCTCTATTAATCCAAGATCGAATTTCATCTTCACTATAATTTTTACCTACGTAAGGAAGTTCATTTTTTGCTTGAGTAAGATAATAACGGTGAATCTTAGCCATTGACTCAAGTTTATTTGTTGATAATCTGTGTCTTCTTTTTCCATAAAACCAACCCAAAGAGGAAAATATCCTTTCACATCCTGCTGAGTTTGGAGTTATAGAAAATAATTTTAGGGCAAGAGTTTTGAGATTACTTTTAGAATCAATACATGTCATCCACCATGAATAAGGAGTATCAATATTAGGTGAGTAAGTTCCATCATACGGACTTTGATGTAAATAATATTTTCTTAATTGGGCTAATAAATCTTTACACGAATCAGCACTATGACCTATATCTTTCCAAATATTGCCGGCTGTTACCAAAAGTTTTGAAAAATACTGTTTATTAATACCTACACCTTAATAGTTTGATTAAAATTATTAAATAAGTTAATAATATTATTAATTTATGTATTATAATAATAATAATAATTATATAAATAAACATACCCTTAAATTGCGGATGTAAAAGATATGTTAACAAATAAACATCATCAGTAAATTCTTTAAATCTATAAATAAAAAATATTAAATTAATTAACAATTTTGTTAAAAAAAAAAAACAAAGAAATTAATTACCGTTCATTAAAAACTTTAATACAATGATTTCGAAAATCTTGATAATCTTCAGATGAAAGATCTTTAATTGCTGATGCAATTTTAATTAAATTAATATAACAGTTGGCCATTGTAGTATCTTTACTTTCTGTTATTTGTATGGCAGCACGAATAGGTTTTAAGGTTTCAGCTAATACTTGTGTATCTTCAAAATAGCCGTGACGTTTTAAAATAGTTTTAACAGATTCATTAGTAATCTCATTGGAATAAGATTGTATTATCTTATTTTTTTAAAAAAATTAATATGATTAATAAAAATAATTTTAAATAATTTAAATAAAATTATATATATTTTTATACATACTTCGCAAAGTACATCGGATAAATGTACGATGGAATCTGTAGCTTCATGACAAGTTATCCATCGTGTTGAAACATATGATTTTAATCCACCACCTTTAATTTTTTTTTCTTCTATTAATTTAGATATTCTATGATGTGCTAAATGAGATTTTTTAAAAAAGGTTGTAACTATATTTGCTCTTCTAATTAATTGGTCTGCAAATTGATGTTTAATAATATCTTTAGATATTAAATTTAAACAATGACTAATACAACGTAAATTAATAATATGCTTATATTCTGTTTTTATAAGTGATCGTGCATTATTAATATTTGCACCAGAATCAGAAACAATTGCTGCAATTCTACGTGGACCAATTTTTTCCATTATTTCTTTAATTTTTGAAGCCAAATAAGATCCCGTATGACTATTTGCTGACAAATCATCAAGTTTATATAGATATTCACAATTATTTGAAGTTGTAATAACATAATTCCAAATAGAAGAACCATTTGGATTCGTCCAACCATCCATACCTAATAATAATAAATTTAATAAATATTTATTTAAAATAATATTTATAAAAGATAACTTACCAAGAGTTAAATTTTTACTTTTTTCTAATTCATTTTCAATTTTTAAGTTAATGTTTGCAGATTCAACATCAAGAAAAGAACCAGAAAGAGTATTAGATGATGGCGGATTATAT